TAATATTTATTGTAAAGTAAAACTGAGAATCTTAATTTAAAAAATATATAACCCATTTCATATTAATACGAAAATATTTTTAATAAACACTTTTTTAAAACAGAAATTGAGAAAAGTGATATTGTTCAATTATCATTTAAGATCACTTTAATGTTAGACTTGAAGGAAGGAAATTCTGCATTCAGTCTCTTGCAATATATTGTTTGGGTTGAAATTTGTGAAGAAAATCTGGCCTTATGTAGTTATGAAGCTTGAAAAAGGAGAAATATTTTAATAGCCACTTTGTGTAATTGTGAATATTCTTCTTTGATACTACATCACAACTAGGCAAATGGTAAAGCTTAGTTATGATGTGAAATATGAAAAAATACTTATTAAAATCCTCTGGTCTAGTTTACATTTTGGGTGGACTGTTACCCTTTATATGTTTGTAACTCATAAATTAGTAATTTGGAAAATATAGTTCACTGAGTTATCAAATTCACATGTTGACACATTTCATTTTTCAATATAAAAAAATTATTCTCCTGGAAATTACCATAAACCACCAGAATAGCCTTTAAGTATTGGGAAGCTGTTAAGCTCTTAGTTTCTTCAACAGAATAGTTTTTGCTTGAAAGTGCATTATTTTATTGTAGCAGCAAATATTCTTAGTTGTTTTTCTTGAAGAAACATTCACTTCAGTCTTTTCCAATATAATGACTATCAAATACTCAATCACAGTTTGTCTGTCAATCCTTCTTTTGTTTGTACCATCAATGTAAGTGTCAATACATTGAAAAAGGCAAAATCATATCATAATATTGTGAAAATGGCTTTGATTCGTGGAACCCCAGAAGGGATCCAGTAATCTAGAGACTGTTTTTGCTATACAGATACATTATAGGAAGAGCCATCAAGAATGTGGTAGAAACAACAACAACAAAAGTTTTTCTGAGTGAAAAAAACTTCAATATTGTCATTATATATCCATTAGTATTTGAGATTTTTAGCTATTCTTAATAATTTTAAACACACTTATATTATAAAGCTTTTTTGAAAAAGTATATAATGTGACAAAAAGGTTTTTTTTATAAAAATCATATACTGTGATTGAGTATTTGATAGTCATTATATTGAAAATGACTGAAGTAATTCTGTTTCTTTAAGAAAAACAGCTGAGAATATTTATTGTTACAATAAAAGAATGAGCTTTCAAGTGAAACTATTGTTGAAAAACTAAGAGCTTGACAGCTTCCCGGTACTTAAAGCCTTTTCTGGTGGTTTAATGGATGTACACACGAATGAAAAGGAGAGCTCCGAAATAGATCCTCACATATAAGGTCAACTGATTTTTGTTGTATATGCAAAGGTAATTTAATGGGGAAAAATAGTTTGTTTAACAAATGATTCTGGGACAACTAGATGTCTATTTAAAGTAAAAATAAGCTTTACCCCTACTACATTGCATACAAAAGTTAAGTCAAAATGGATCACAGCTAAAACTGTGAACTAACTGCAAGAAAAAAAAGAGAAAATCTTCATAAGCTAAAGACAAGCAAAAATTTCTTAAAACTTTTCATCAAGTAAAAATTTGATTGATTGTACTTCATCAAAATTAAATATTTCTAATCTTCATAGATACTATCAAGGAAATGAAAACATTATGATATCCATATAAAGTATATAAATTATATAAACTAATAATTAGCCAAACAGCCAAGTTAAAAATGAGCAAGACATTTGAATATTTGCTTCAAAGAAGATACGTGATTGCCCAGTAAGAACTAGAAGAGTTGCAACATCATTAGTTATCAAGGAAATGCAAATTGAAACCACTAGAATGGCCGAGGTTAAAAAGACGAACAGTAGCAAGTCTTTGGAAAAGCATCTGGAACAACTGGAATTCTACATTGTTGGTTGGGGTACAAAATAGTGCTGTTACTTTGTAAGACAAGTTGATAGTTTCTTATAAAATGATATATGCACGTGACCCAAAATTCCATTTTCTCTGAAGTAGTAGTTCTGTATGTCAAGTACTCAGAGGAAAGATCTGTGCCTTCTCTGTCTGCTTTAATGTCCCTACAAATACCCTAGTCTTATGCTATGCCTTCCATGTATGTATGCTGAATGTTGTTTAACAAGTAAAGTGGATAGCGTGTCTTATTGGGAGATGTTTGTGAGCCGTTTTGGTTTGCTTTGTTTTCAGATACTGGGTTCTGTGCGGTGGCGTGACCGGTTTTGGACTGTGTCTGACACGGTAAAAGTGGATGCTCCAGGATTGGCCCTGCTTGCCCTTCATTGGCACTGGGTTTTGAAACATTTGATCTATCAGATTCCTCAACTTCTGATGAATCATGAAGACAAGTAAGACATATTTAGAGTCATAGTGTCCATATCTGCAGTATTGATGGTGTTAGAAGATTCTGAGTTTGAAATGGAAACTCTTTCTCCTTGCTTTATTTGATTTGTTACTGTTGCATATTGGAGAATGTAAATAAAATATAAGTTGGAGAATGTAAATAAAATATAAAATGCAAGCAGCCTCAGCCTACCCTTCTGTTTCTTTCTTCCCTTCTGCCCTTTTTCTCTTTCTTTAAAGATACTACAAAGAGGTTCAGACCGTTTCAGAACATATTCAGAAATGCTTGGGGAGCCCGACTGGTGGCTTCACTGGTATAAAGAAGCTGCAGAAGTTCCTGGGAAGACCATTTCCTTTTAAGGTACACCTAGAAGCATGTAGTAAATACGAAAATTTAACCTTCTCTTCTGAACTCCTAGGACTTGGGAATTGATACTTAGTTAGATGCAACTTTGCTTTAAAGCTTTACTCTTAAATATTACATGAGTACTATTAACTGATTTGTTAAATGTTATCATTTTTCTTATTCCTGAGACTATAAAGGTTGTGTAGAGTTTTTATTACTGTAAAATCTCTTTAGAGCAATAGGAGTAAACAAGCCCTGTGTTTTCTGAAAATATTAAAGAAATACATTAAATTTCTTCTCAGACATGTGGACTGCTCAAAAGAACCACATTTCTATGATAGGCTCTCCTGTGTTTTAATGTTTTAGGACAAGCTGGTGGTGGAGTGTTTTTCACAATTGAAAGTCCTTAGCAAAGCCCTTGCCATCAGGGAGTGGATTCCTGCCCTTGGGGAGAGTGGATGGCAGGAGAACATTAGTCGTCTCCAAGTGTTTGCTTTTGAGTGGACATTAAAGAAAAGTCTCCTGCAGGCCTGGGGATTGGTCCTCAGAGCTAATATTCTGGAAGATGTCAACCCAGGTAAAATGTTCTGGGGTTTAAGTAGCTGACAAATACTCTCAGAATATCCTCTGCCTGTAGGCAATAAGTTTTTCCTTAGATTTTCTTTGTGCGTATGTGTACAGGGGAGGAGGGAGTGAACTCCCATTAAATAGACGCCAGGCACAGGGCTAAATTTGATATCTATTGTTTCATACAATACAATCATTAGAATCCTGCAGGTATTAATATCACCATTTAGAAGATGAGAAACCCTAAGTTTAGATTAAGCAACTTGCTCATGCCTACTTAGCTGGCTGTGAAAATCTCTTGACCACTGTGCTATGATATACTGTGTGTCTGTTTGTCCAGGTGAATTGAAGGATCATGTGAATGCTCAGTGTTTAGAACTAAAAGCCAAAGGAATTTCACTGGGTTGTCCAGAGAAACAGTACAGTGAAACTGCCGTCCTGTCTCAGCCAGCATTTACCTCCTTAATGCAACTAAGCAGGGTTGTTCAATTATGGCCTGCAATGGAGTACCTGGCTGTGCTTTGGCAGTACAAAATGACAGCTGATTTTATGGCACAGGCTTGTCTAAGAAGGTAAGCTCCATTCAGTTATTTTGCTCAGGGGAAGCTATTTTCTTGTTAGATTATTCTGTGTATCCTATATGTGTAAACATGGCTTGCCTTGAGGGAGAATAGTTAACTATGGCAGAGAGGAGGCAGTTGCCATTTTGAAAAGTGAAAACTTGAAGATTCGTTGCCTACTTTGACTCTACTCCTGAAAATGGTGAGGTTTTTCCCCCAAGTAGAGTTGCTTGTTTTTAAATGAATATACTTTCAGTTCTGTGTTTTCTATCTTCATTACACGACATTTTCTAGCAGTTCATTGGTAGTCTACCCCATACCCTTTCTTCTTTATCTCTGGAGCAGGTCCAGCAAAAACCAGCCCCACATAAGTGAAGAGATAAAGCATCATGTCAGATTTTGTCTTAAACACACACCAGTTGCTCCTCAGGAACTGCGAAATCTTTGGTCCATGCTGCACCATCAACAGGTATTTAAAAAAAGAAAAATGGAAATAAATGCCCTTTCCACTATGGCAGGCTTATGCCAGAAGCTGATTAACTGACGTTATATTTAATTTTTTAATCTCATGTTGCAAAATCTAGTTTTATCTGAAAAACCTTTCAACAGGAGAATTTTGAACTTACTTTTGCAATAATTACATGGGTATGTCACAACTCTATCACAGAATCATTGTGGTTGATTTCCAGTTAAATTAAGCTAAAAGGTTTATTTTCATTCCCTGTTTGCTTAAAAATATATTGTGAGAGAGTTTTAAACCTCCCCTAGTAAAAGCTACTTATTAATATGAATACTAATAAACTAGTTGATGGAACCTCATCATTAGGGCAACCTTAATGGATTTTTTTTTAAAATAATAATGCTTTATTTATTTTGCTGATATAATTGCTCGAATTGTTTTACTGATATTTTCTCATGCAACCCTTATAAAAGCAGATCTCATTTTAGTTCTACAACATTATGTACAGAGTAAGTGACTTGACAAAGATTACCCAGGATGGCAGAGAATTGGGAAAATAGGGTTACTATCCTTAAAACCCCCTCTTAGTTTTAGGTGGCTCTAGGAAGACAAGAGACCTTATAACTTGACTAACAGAATCTTTCTCAGTCTTCATCTTGTCTAATTATTCCTTTAGGTGTCTACTGAAGAAATTATTTCTGTATGGTCTGAGCTATTTAATTCCACATTTACCTCTTTCTGGAGCAGTACCGTGACAACAGATCCTGAGTACTGGCTAACTTGGAGCCCTCTGCCTGGTGGGCAGCAGAGGGAGAGGCCCAAGTCCCTGTTGGACTCCACATTGAAGGTTTGCATAAAATTACAAAAATGTTTAGGAATGATGGAAAATTAAATAACTTAAAAGTTTCTCAAAGAATCCAGCAATACACATTAATGCCAAGGATACAGCAGGACTGAATAAATATAGTTCTTTATTTCCTGTAGGATGTTAATAGGTGTAAACAAAAAAAAAATCCAAACTCACTGTTGTCGAGTCGCTCCTAACTAATAGCAGCCCCTCCTTGGGTTTCTGAAGCATTATCACTGTGGTAGTAGATTGGCCAATCTTCCGAGGAGTGGCTGGTGGGTTTGAGCCTCCAGCCTTCTGGTTACCAGTCAGATGCCTTAGGCGCTATGTCTGTACCTTCAGAAAAAGGAGTTTTGTCTTAAATGATTTAGAGAATTCTGAGTTAAAGTGTAAAAAGTTTCCTTTAAAAAACTTATATATTTTTCCTAATTATAATGATAGTGTATACTTATAAAATATTTAAATCATAAAAGAACCATATATCTACAAATGTATGTGTAATATATGTACGTGTTATATATATGTGTATATCTATAACATTGTTGGTATGTGCCATCGAGTCGGACCCGACTCATTGTGACCCCTCCTTGGGTTTCCGAGGCAGTGTCACTACGGAAGTAGATTGCCCCACCTTCCTTCCGAGGAGTGGCTGGTGGGTTTGAACCGCCAGCGTCCTGGTTAGCAGTCAAGTGCCTTAGGCACTACGCTACCAGAGCTCCCACTTTATATATATACGTATATATTATAGATATGGGAGCTCTATGGGCAGTCTATTTCCGTAGTGACACTGCCTCGGAAACCCAAGGAGGGGTCGCTATGAGTTGTGTCTGACTCGATGGCACGTAACAACAACAAACATAAAGTAGAATTAATCAGAAATAACCACCCATTGCTCTGTATCCTTCTTTTTACATATATTTTTATATTAAATATATATCTAAATGAAAAAATAAGATCACTTTCCTTGTTCACATACGATACATCTTGGAAAATCTACACATCATTCCATTGTACTGATGTACCATAATTAGTTTAATCACTTTCTTACTGTAGATGTTGAGGTTTACTTTTTTTTTTTAATCTTTTTTTTCCCCTTCCTATAACAGGCATAGCTGTGTTGACTATCACTGTATATATCTTTGTCCCTTTCTTAGTACTTCTAATAATTGGAATTTAACTTGTTGTTGAAATATCTGCACACATAAAAAAATGGATAGCTATAATCAGTATGTTTAGTGGGGCACTTTTTACAAGGAGCCAGTGAAGAGGGAGGTTATAAGGTCCTAGGTGACTACAGGAAGATTTAGGACCAGATAACACTTTAACTTAGAATACCCATTTTTCCATATCCTTGTCACACTATGTATGATCAGCATTCTCAATTATTGCTAGTTATATGTGTGTGTTTGTTTGTTTGTCTTTTCCAAATTATGATCTGGGCGAAGGTTTACAGAGTAAACTGGTTTTCTATTCAATAATTCATACACGTTTTATTTTGTGACATTGATCACAGTCTCCACCATGTAACAGCACTCTTCCCATTTCCTCCCTGTGGTTATCATTTCTCTTCATTCTTCTCGTTCCCTCTTATCTTCTGGGGTTTATCCCTGAGCAATTGCTGTCCATTTGATCTTATATGGTTGATTATTCTAATGAGTGCATACCTCCCTGGTATTTGTATCATTTGGCTGAAAGTTGAGCCACAGAGGTGAGTTCAGTTCCAGGCTTGAAGAGTGTCTGAGGGTCATAGTTTCCATCAGACGAGTAAGCCTGGTCCTTTTTATGATTTTGAGTTTTGTTGCACGTGTTTCTCTCATTTTATCCAGTACTTCCTTTCGTGATCCCTTTCAGAATGGTCAGCAATGGTAGCTGGGCACCATCTAGTTCTTCTGGTCTCAAGGTCATGGAGGCTGGGGTTCATGTGATCCATTAGTCCTTTGTACTGATTATTTCCTTGCATCTTTGACTAGTCATCTCATTTTTTAAAATTTCATTTTGATTTGCATTTCTTTGATTATTATTGAGAGTGAACATCTCCTCATGTGTTTATTGATCATTTTTT